CAAGTCTTTGGACAGATTCGAGCTCAACTGTTTGCAGAGAACGGTCAGTTTCATCAGATCGGTCAGTTTTGTCCTAATTGCCGCCAGTTCAACGCAAAGGTAAAACAAATACGTTTTCATCCGGCTCGCGAAACCCGTTGAATTTCTGGTAATTGTGGTTAGTGAGATGATTCTTGTGTCGGTTTTTGTGTGTAGGTGGGAAACAATAATCACTTGTTTTGCTGGGCATGTCAAGCACATTTCTGTTACCTTTGCAAGAAAGTTGTGAAGCGATCTTCTCAGCACTATGGACCAAAGGGTTGCAAGCAGCACACAGATGGGTAAAGACATGTTTGGAAAGATGAAGCATGGGTTCTGTTTTCCTTCTCCAGAGGTTATCACTTGCTTTAAGGTCCAAAGAACATTGATAAATTTGATTCATTTTTCGACTTGCGTTTCAATATATATTATGTGTATGTTGTTCTTATTATGTCTTATCATTTGCTTAAGGTTCAATAAAAAAATTGATGAGTTTGGTTCGTTCTTTGAAGATAGCCATATGTTCTTACTTTTCGTAAATTTTATTCGTATTTTGACAAAATGAAATCTTTAAAAATAAACCCTTTTGTTGGGCTTACAAAGAAGAACAGGGAGATGACAGAGAGAAACATCAGCTTCAAGACTGCAATGCTTACTCGGTGTGTCCTTCGTCTACCTTAATTTTCTTTTCTTCTTATCTGTTACAGATGAATGCAAAATTTCGTCACATTGCAATGGCATCAAGTTGCTCCTAGGATCTAGTAACTTGGGTGTTAATATCGGGATTAAAAACCCAGTCGATAAGTCCTTCATACTTATATAAGAGAGGATACCTTTGTGATGCATTATTTGTTAAACTCAGATTACTGAGTTGGGACAGATGCCCAGTGAGATGTATGCTTTCTAAAAACCTCATTAAACTCAAAATGCGGAAGAGCAACCTCACGAAGCTGTGGGCAGGAGTAGAGGTAAGTTTATACTTTTTTTGTATAGTTGTAATATTATGAGTTGCTGAGATTATATCTTTAATCAATTCTACTTTCCTCTGTGTGTTTACTTTTTGGGTTCGTTGCTTACATGTCTCAATGATATGGATTCCAGATCTTTCAATGGCGACCAATCTTGAGACACTTAATCTCAGGGGATGCTCGAGTTTGGTAGAGGTTTGTTGTTCATCTATTCAGAATCTAAATAAATCTCAAGTTTGGTGGAACTTCCTTCCTATATTGGCAATCTCAATGAACTGACATATTTGAAAATTGCTAAATGCACAAAGCTGGAGACTCTTCCAAGTGGCATTAAGCTCAAATATCTCAATCCTCTTGATCTAAGTGGATGGATGCTTGCGGTTGAGAAGTTTTCCTGATATCTCAAACAACATCTCAGAACTCTATCTGATCCAAACACGAATTGAAGAAGTTCCTTGGTGGATCGTGACTCGTGAGCTTCACTAGCCTCGAATTCTTATATATGAAGGAATAAAACAAATTGATACATGTATCCTTAAATATTTGTAGACTAGAGCATCTTTAGTTTGTTGACTTATCAGACTGCAGACCGATGATAGTTAGAAGCAGAAAGTGTCCCAAAGGTCAAAGTTTATTTCATGGACAGCTTTGAACTGGATCAAGAAGCTTTGCTTCAACAACAGCCAGTTTTCAAGTTAATGATATTGTCTGGTGAAGAAGTACCTTCATATTTCACTCACCAAACTACCGGAACTTTTCTGGCTATCTCTCTACTTCAGATCCCTCTCTCTCAACCATTTTTCAGATTCAAGGCTTGCGTTGCTGTTTATGACTGAATATGGAGCTCTAGTAGTTGTGTGGGATAATGAGTCTTTTTTTGCGATAGAAGAGAAGAACAAGCACAAGTTTGGTGATGAGAATGGATTCTTGAAGCCGATGTTGGTAACGTTCGAGGCCATGATGCTAAAAGACAGCGATGGAGCGACAGGTGAAGAAGCAGGAATTGAACATGAGTTTAAAACCCTTTTATTTAACTTATTGAGGTCGTCTAAGTTTCAGGTAGCGAATAAAGGAAACATTTTGAGGACGTTGAGCTTGATAGTAACCATCTCAACAAAGCTGAAAGGGGTTTGTGTAATTTTTCAGTTTTAAACATCTCGATAAACCGTCTTTGATCATATGGATGGTCAGAGATTGCGTACAATCTCAAAGCTGCAGGTTTTGCAAGTGTGGTTTATATGAATACTGAATTTTTTCAAATAGCAGAACAATGAAGTTTAGTTAGCAAATTCCCTGCTCTCTGTTTCAGGCCAAAGCTTTTTGCCCAACTTAGATTTTTGTTAATTTACTTTCTGGTAGTTTTAACTTTTTGTTCAAATCTAGAATAATCCTTTGCAATGGTTATAAAAGAAACTTCTACATTCACTAATCAATAATCACTAGAAAAATGACGTGTATGTTGTTTATAGATTTGATTTGTTGGCTATTTTAGTATGAATAAAATTGTATTATATATTTATTTTGTGATTTTTTGGATCTAACAGAAATTTATATATTTATCAAATATAAATTAGATAAAATGATACATTGATTTCTTTCATTTTAAGTGTTTGTGTTGTTATACAAAATAAATACACAATTTAGTTGTTGGCGACATGAATTTTTAGTTATCTTTTAGCTCATAAACGATTAACTTTGTTGAAAATTTGCAACTTCCACCGTATGTCTAAATTTTTTTCGAAGACTTTTAAACTTGAAAAGTTGTTGATGATTATTAATGGCTCAAAAACACTTTAACAACCCAACCACACACAAAACCTCTCTAGCACGTGGTTCGACTGCTTTTTAATTATACTATTATCTCTATATTTTTCTCCTGAACTTTGAATAACCTCTCGTTATCTCTTTTTTTTTCCAATAATCCATTGAATATCTTAACAATCTTATTATATAAAGGAGGATGCGCGCAATGAGAGCATAACACGTAAACAACATTATTATTCACCATATTATGACCCATGTAATTGTTAATTTAGATTGTGACATGTGTTAATATTAAC